ATTAACTAACTAGAATTTAAATAAAAACTAAAAAAGGGGACACACATACCCCTATATTTATTGCAGCACTATCTACAATAGCCAAATTATGGAAGCAGCCCAAGTGTCCATCAACTGATGAATGGATAAAGAAGACGTGGTATATATACAGTGGAATATTATTCAGCAATAAATAATAAAAGAAATGAAATTTTGCTGCTCGGAACAACATGGATGGAGCTAGAGAGTATAATGCTAAGTGAAATAAGTCAGTCAGAGAAAGACAAATACCATATGATTTCACTGTTGTGTGGAATTTAAGAAACAAAACAAACAAGTAAAAGGGGCTGGGGAAGAAAGAGAGGCAAACCAAGAAACGGACTCTTAACTATAGACAACAAACTGATGGTTACCAGAAGGGAGGCAGGTAGGGGGATGGGTGAAATAGGTGAAGGGAATTGAGTACACTTACCGTGAAGAGCACTGAGTAATGTATAGAAGTGTTGAATCACTATATTGTACACCTGAAACTAATATAACACTGTGTGCTAACTGTACTGGAATTAAATTTAAAGCTTAATTTTTACCAAAAGGGACTTAACCATAGCCTCATTTGCCAGCTAGAACAGTCAGGCCAAATTGTAACCATTCTTAATAATCTGCCTTGCTCGGTCAACAAATATTTAGTTATCATTTTCTATGTGCCAGGCTCTGTCCTAGCGTTCAGGGATACAGTGATGAACAAGACACTCTAACAGACTTTACATTGTACAGAGGGGAAACATATAAGCAAGCAAGTATTAATAAAGCAAATAATTTCAGCTAGTGACAGGAGGGGAAAAAAAAACACTGTAGTGTGAGAGGGAATGGTTGGATTGGGAATCTACATTAGGTTTGATTTGTTCAGCAAGGAAGATATCTCAGAAGGAAGACTTTAATAGGAAGAAGAGGCTAGCCATGTGAGGATCTGGGGAGAGAGTGGCCCAGGCAGAGAACAAGAGCAAAGGCCCTGGGGTGCCTGTGTGGCTCAGTCACTTGAGCATTCGACTCGGATTTAGGTCATGATCTCACTGTTGGTGGGTCCGTGCTCCGGGCTGGGCTCTGTGCAACAGCTCCAGAACCTGGGGCCTGCTTCAGATTCTGTGTCTCCTTCTCTCTCTGCCCCTCCCCCACTTGTGCTCTGTCTCTCAAAAATAAATTAAAAAAAAAAACACCAAAAAAAAAAAAAAAAAAAGAAAAGAAAAAGAGCAAAGGCCCTGAGGCAGGGATGAATTTGCTGTCTCTAGGAACAAAAGAGGTATAAAGAGAAGTTCTTCCACCAGACATACCAGGATCTGGGGTGTGCAATTTCTAGAGTCTCTGTCTAGAAGTAAGAGTATGTATGAAAGCACAAACACATCTAATCCCTAACTTTCCTCCTTCCTGACCAACCTCACATCCAAAAGGGAAGCTCATTTTGCGAGAAGACAGTGATTCACATTTTAATGTTTGATAGATGTTCCCAAATGATATATCTGGCTTTTTTAGTAATAGTTTTATTGAGATATAATTCACAGACCACAAAATTCACCCTTTTAAAGTATAAAGTTCAATGACTTTTAGCATATTCACAGTTGCACAACTGTCTAAAACCACTATCTAATTTTCATCACCTCCAAAAAGAAATCCTGAGTTTGTCAAGATTACAGGATACAAGATCAATATACAAAAGCCAGTTTTATTTCTATTCACTGGCCATGACTAATCCAAGCATGAAATTAAGAAAACAATTCCATTTACAATAGGATCAAAAATAATAAAATACTTAAGAATAAATTTAACAAATTAAAGACTTGTACATTGAAAATGACAAAACCGGGGCGCCTGGGTGGCGCAGTCGGTTAAGCGTCCGACTTCAGCCAGGTCACGATCTCGCGGTCCGTGAGTTCGAGCCCCGCGTCAGGCTCTGGGCTGATGGCTCAGAGCCTGGAGCCTGTTTCCGATTCTGTGTCTCCCTCTCTCTCTGCCCCTCCCCCGTTCATGCTCTGTCTCTCTCTGTCCCCAAAAAAATAAATAAACGTTGAAAAAAAATTTTTAAAAAAGAAAGAAAGAAAGAAAATGACAAAACATCCTTGAAAGAAATTAAAAAGGACCTAAGTAAATAGACATCCCATGTTCATGGTTTGGAGGGCTTAATATTAAGATGGTGTAGTAAAATAATGGCCCCCAAAAGGTGTCCACATTCTAATATCCAGAACCTGTGAATATGTTACTTTACATGGCAAAAGAGATTTTACAGATATGATAAAGTTATGGAGATTGCTTTGGATTATCCATGTGGTTATAATCTAATCACAAGGGGCTTTGTAAGAGGGAGGCAAGAGGGTCTAGGGCAGAAGGAGGACATGTGATGATGGAAGCAGGGCCAGAGCAATATACTTTGAAGATGGAGGAAAGGGCCATGAGTCCAGGAATGCAGGCAGCCTCCAGGAGCTAGACAAGGCAAGGGAAAGGGTAATCCCCTGGCAGCCCCTAGAAGGAATACAGCCCTGCTTCATACCTTGAGTTTAGCCACAGAAGATGTACTTTGGAATTCTGACATCCAGAACTATAAGATAATAAATTTGTATTGTTCCAAGCCACTATGTTTGTGATAATTTGTTACAGCAACACTACAAACTAAAACACATAGCAACAGTCCCCAAATGGACCTAGAGATTCAAAATAATCCCTATCAAACTCCCAGCTGACTTTCTTACAGAAACTGAGAAACTGATCCTAAAATTCATATGGAAATGCAAGGTGGGGAGACCCAGAATAGGTAAAATACTCATGAAAAAAAAGAGAACAAAGCGGAGGTCTTACACTTAATGATATCAAAACTTACTACAAAGCTACATGATTGAAACTCTGGCACTGACATATAGAAAGACGTATAAATCAATAGAATAGAATTGAGAGTTCAGAAATAAAGCCTTACATTTATGATCAGTATATTTTTGACAAGGGTACCAAGACAATTCAACAGAGAAAGGATATTCTTTTCAACAAATGTGTTGAAACAACTGGGTATCAACCTGAAAAAAATGAAATTTTACCCCTACCTCACACCATATGAAAAATTAACTCAGAACAGATTAAAGATCTAAATATAGAAGCTAAATCTATAAAACTCTGAGAAGAAAACTTGGGTTTAAATCTTTGTGACCTTGAATTAGGCAACAATTTCTTAGATATGACACCAGAAGAACATGTAACAAAAAAAATTAGATAAATTGGACTTAATCAAAATTAAAATTTTTACACTTTTAAAGAACGCTATCAAGGAAGTGAAAATACAACATACAAAATTGGAGAAAATGTTTGCAACTCATATATCTATCTGGTAAGAGTCTAGTATCCACTTGGGGCGCCTGGGTGGCGCAGTCGGTTAAGCGTCCGACTTCAGCCAGGTCACGATCTCGCGGTCCGTGAGTTGGAGCCCCGCGTCGGGCTCTGGGCTGATGGCTCAGAGCCTGGACCCTGTTTCTGATTCTGTGTCTCCCTCTCTCTCTGCCCCTCCCCCGTTCATGCTCTGTCTCTCTCTGTCCCAAAAAAATAAATAAACGTTAAAAAAAAAAAAAATTAAAAAAAAAAAAAAAGAGTCTAGTATCCACATGATATAAAGAATTCTTACAAGCCAGTGATACAAAATAAATAAATAAATAAAATGGGCAAAGAGTTTGAATAAATATTTATCCAAAGATCTACAAGTGGCCAATAAACATATGAAAAGATGTTCAACATCATTAGCTATCAGGGAAATGAAAATAGAAAAAACAAGGAGATACCACTTCTTACCCACTAGGCTAGCTACAATATTTTTTTAATGGAAAACAACAAGAGTTGGTAATGCTGTGGAGAAATTGAAACTCCATACATTGCTAGTAGGAACATAAAATAGTTTCTGCTATAAAGCTGCTGTGGAAAAGTTTGGGGAAAAAAAACCCACAAAACAGTTACCTCATACTTAGCACATCTGTACCTAGGTGTATACCCGAGAGAATTTAATACATATATACCCAGAAAAACTTGTACATAAATGTTCATAGCAGTGTTATTCATGATAGCCAAAAAGTGGAAATAATCAAATGTCCACCAAATGTAAACATATAAATTAAACATGGTGTATCCATACAAAGGAATACTATTTAGGGGCACCTGGGTGGCTCACTCAATTGTGTCCAACCTTGACTTAGGTCATGATGTCACAGTTTGTGAGCTCGGGCCCCACATCGGGCTCCATGCTGACAGCTCAGAGCCTGGAGCCTGCTTCAGATTCTGTGTCTCCTTCTCTCTCTGCCCCACCCCGTTCACACTCTCTCTCTCTCTCTCTCTCAAAAATAGACCTTAAATTTTTTTCACATAAGTAAATAAATAAATAAACTAATAAATAAATAAAGTAATAAATAAAATGAAGGAATATTATTTATACATAAAAGACCAAAGTATTGATTCATCCTACCACATAGATGAACCAGAAGCCAGTCAAAAAAAGACCACATATGCTATGATTCCATTTATGTGAAATTTCCAGAACAGGCAAATTTACAGAAAGTAGATTCATGGTTGTCAGAAAGTGTAGGAGTGGGGAATGGGGAGTGACTGCTAATAGGTTTTAAATTTCCTTGGGGGGGGATGAAAATGTTCTGGTTGCAATTTTGTGAACATATTAAAATGCATTGAAATGTGCACATTAGAGGATGAATTTTATGATGTATGAATTATCTGAAAATAAATGAATCTGAAAATAAGTAAATGAATTTATGTATGTATGTACATGCCTAGGAGCGGAATTGCTGGGTCAGATGTTAAGTCTGTTTCACTTTCGAGTTTTTCAAAGTGGCTGTACCATGTTACAATCCTGCCAGCAACATGTCAGAGTTCCAATTTCTCCACATGCAAAGGCTTGTTTTAAGAGATCCTAGCAGACAAATCTGCAACAAATGTAAAATGCTGAAGTTTTCACGGTCTTAGGAGCATGTGTATGTTCTTGTTTACAGATTTCAAAGAAAATCCATTGATGGAAGCTTTGGTTCCAGTGATGGTAAGAAAAGTTCCTGGTAAGAAAAGTCAATTCGAATGATAGAGAGTGTGCGGCAACATCCCATTTGGCACTTTTGTCTCTCTGACTTTCATCATTGCCAAACCCTCCCTTGGTTCCTATCCCACAGACTAATCTAATCTACAGTCTTTCTAGAGAAAGCAGAGCTAGTGAGAACCAGTTTTCAGAGTTGGTAAGTACTGAGATATGGAGCTCCTACTAAGACCCTTTGCTTAGAGTGTCCCTTGCAATTGTCCATGGCTCATTTATCAGCCATTCATCTTCTTTAGAAGTTTAATCTTTTATAGGATGTAAATTGTTCACACCTATTTCATCCCAAAGCCAACTTGCGAACAATAAGAATTTATTGTCTCAACTCTAATACACAGTTCAATTTTCCCAAATTGAAATAGAGGCTTTTTTGTTATTGTTGTTCAAGGCTAAAAACCTGAATTATTTGAGACTAACAAGTGTAATAACTTTGGGAAATCCAGAATAATTGATTATTTGACCATTGTAATGTGCCCTTTCCTCCACTCTGATAATTTGAAGAAACTCAATTACCTGATCTTTTTATAAAAATTTTTTAAAAATTAAATGTCCTCATTTTTTTAAATCAAGAAATAACTGACATGTAACATTGTAAGTTTTGAGTATACAACACCATGATGCAATATTTGTATATATTGCAAAATGATTACCACGATTAAGTCTAGTTAACATCCATCACCACACAGAGCTACAAATTTTTTCTTGTGATGAGAACTTTTAAGATCTACTCTCTTGGGCAGGGGCGGCGGGGGGAGGGGTGTTGCGCCTGGGTGGCTCAGTCAGTTAAGCATCTGACTTCAGCTCAGGTCACGAACTCGAGGTTCGTGGGTTCAGGCCCTGCGTCAGGCTTTGTGCTGACAGCTCAGAGCCTGGAGCCTGTTTCAGATTCTGTGCCTTCCTCTGCCTCTCCCTTGCTCACACTCTGTCTCTGTCTCTCTCTATCTCTCAAAAATAAACATTAAAAAAAAGATCTACTCTCTTAGGAACTTTCAAATACACAATATAATGACCAGCCTGTACCTTATATCCCCAGGACTTAGTTTATAACTGGAGGTTTACACCTTTTGTAAATATCCTCATTTTTAAAAAGTCTAAGCATGAGTTACTCAGTGTTCATAAGTTATTTGGCACAGAGTGGTGATTTAGAAAAGGAACAATGAAATGAGACTTGATTTTTAAGTCACATGCAGTAGATGTTCAGTTCTGTGTTTTCTGTACTTAACTGAGCCCACAGAGTCTTAGAGAAACACAAATTGATCCCCTACCCACCCACCAGGAGCATTTCTCACTCTGCTTCTCCTGCCTTCCTTTGACTTTTGTCTTCCTCAATGTCAGCATGTTTATTTTCCAGCCACCCAGGCAATTGGCTTTGACAACATTCGACTAGCAATATGAAAGACTATCAAAGGACACCTGCTCTAGCGTCTTTAAAATACTAAGTGCTACTTTCCCTTTTATTCGTAAAATGTTTAAATGAATTTGTCTTCTCTCTGGATCTCTTCCTTTTTCTTCTAGTGCTTTCCAAGTTTTGCTCTTATTTTAGGTCCCAGTTGAACTTAGAAAGCCTGATTAGTCCAATCCCATTGGTGCTCTGTGAAAGGATGGTCCATTATTTTTATTGTATCAATGAAGTATTTTATTACCGTATTGATAATTGAAAGAATTTCTGTGTTCAGAAGAGTTTCTTGAACAGTGAAGTGTAGGTAGACAGAGCTGAAACTTAAGCTCAGATCATTATCTAAGATCAAGAAAGCTCTGAAAATTAGCTCTGAAGGGATCCTTCAGATGGCAAGCAGAAGTGAATGACTGACAAGAAAAGAAAGAAAGAAGAAAAGGAGGAAGGGAGGAAGGAAGGGAGGGAGGAAGGAAGGAAGGAAGGAAGGAAGGAAGGAGGAAGGAAGAAAGGGAGAGAGGGACGGAGGAAGGGAGAGAGAAAGAGAGAGAAAGGAAAGGGAAGGGAAAGGAAGAAAAGAGAAAAGAAAAGAAAAAAAAAGAAAAGAAAAGAAAGAAGATGGAAAGGAGGGAGAGATGGAGGGAAGGAAAGAAGATAAGAGTAAAGATGCATCAGTTAGGATTCACATAGCTGCAAATAACAACAAATTATATCTCAAACCACACTTAAACAATATAGATGCTCGTCTCCCTGGAAGTTGAACAAAAGGGTGCACTTAGGACTGACTGAGTCTGGTGGCCCTGGTCCTTTCCCCTGCCATTCCCCTGGCTCTGCTTTAATTCCAGTGCCAGTGGTGAGATGAATCACTTTGACACCCTCACCTGACAATGTCCAAAGGGAAGGACTTTTTCAGAAGCACCCAGTAACTGCTCATGTTTCATTGGCATAGAGTGGATCATTTGCTTGTTAAACCAGTCACCGCAAAGGAATAGATTTACCTACAGATCAATCAAGCCTCCTTACAGAACTAGGATGAGATCATCTTCCTCTAAGACTGGTGTTTCTCAAACTCAACGTTATTGACATTACAGGCCAGATAATTATTTGTTGGGGGGGGGTGCTGTCCTGTACATTGTAGGATGTCTAACTCCATTCTTCACCTCTACCTGCTAGAAACCAGTAGTACACTCCCTCCTTGGGACAACTAAAAATGTCCCTAGACAATGTTCTCTTGGGGGCAAAATGATTCCCCCACCCCTACCCCCAATTGGGAATCACTGACTTAAACACACAGACTGCCTGACGAGGATACCTAAACAAAATCCCAGCTTAGTTAGGAAGTAGGGACTAGGAGTGTTCACCACAAAGGACTTTGAAAAAGGGAGGAAATACAGCACCTTTGTTATGCAGACAGGCTACAGGGAGAGAAGACACATGACAAGTAAGATGAGACCTAGATGCGGGAGACAAGAGCAGAGAAGGCACACTCTACTCTAGGAAAGAACCTAAGCATATCCAGTGGAGCTTTGAGAAAGCAGCCTGGAGCAAGAGACACCAGTAAGTGAAGGGCACTGAAATGAATGTGAGACATTCAGGGAAGGAAGGTTTGCAGAGAAGCAAAGATATAGAAATGTCTTTCTTGGGACCCCTGGGTGGCTCAGTGGGTTGAGCATCCAACTCTTGATTTCTGCTCAGGTTGTGATCCCAGGGTCATGGGATTGAGCCTCTGTGTCAGGCTCCACACTGAGCATGGAGCCTTCTTGAGATTCTCTCTCTCTCTCTCTCTCTCTCTCTCTCTCTCTCTCTGTCTCTCTCTCTCTTTCTCTCTCTCGGAGCCTGGGTGGCTCAGTCAGTTAGGCACCCGACTTCGGCTCAAGTCATGATATCATAGTTCATGGGTTCAAGCCCCGCATCAGGCTCTGTGCTGACCACTTGGAGCCTGGAGCCTGCTTTGGTGCTGTGTCTCCCTCTCTCTCTCTGCCCCTCCCCCATTCATGCTCTGTCTCTATCTCTCAAAAATGACTAAACATTAAAAAACATTACAAGAAAAAAAGAGTCTCTCTCGCTCTCTCTCTCTCTTCCCCGTTCTCTGTCTTCCTCTCTCCCCTGCTTGTGCATGCTATCTCTCTCAAAATAAGAATAAAAGTAAAAAGTTAAAAAATATTTCTTTCTCTCCCAAGGGCCAGGATCAGTGTGACTGTGGGGGCTACAAGAAGTTCAGTGGAGCTCAGAGCTACAGGAAATGCCCTGGGGGGCTGCTAATCAGAGAAAATGCTAGGAGCAGTGTCTGAAAGGGAAGGAGGATCCCATTAGGCTTGGCATTAGGCTTGGCTTGGGTCCACCCAAATCAGTGTGGACCTAGACATCTGAGGAGCTGGGCCTGATGCTTTCACCTTGCCTGTGCTTCACGCAGAAAACATGGAGCCAGGTCCCTACAGGCTGTCAAATTGGTGGCAGCCCTGTTTTAGTTACATAACAAAAGGAAGCCTGCATTTGGAGTATCTGTCAACTCCCCTGTATTTGTTTTTCTTTCATTTGCCTGCCATTCTTTAAGTTCTATTTGAAAAATATTGACATTGGTTCCGATTGTGCTTAAAACAAAGAGATGTCTTTCATACTTCACGGGATAAAGATGGAGATAATTTCGTGGAGTCAGGTGAATTGGAAATAGTGTTTGTAAAGACTTTCTTGAGGCCATGAAGGCATTTTTTACTGTATTCCCCACTCATCACTTAGCACTGAAGGCAGGGACCTCTGGGGTATTGTGAGGGGTACTAGGAAAGGCTCTGTGCTCTAAAAACCTTTAGTGGCCCTGTCAGTGAAAAATCCCACATTTCACATCATTGTAAACAACCTATACAGAAATTCAGCCACAACTGGAGAGAAAGGTGAATGAAGTATGTCTCACAGGCTTCTGGAACCACATGAGTTGTCAGCATGGAACCTGACGGTAAGAGAGGGTTACTGTCTCAAGTGAGAGAGCTTAACAAACGTGACAAGTTGTTAGATTTAAGAACCCAATGGCCAATCAAATTCTTCCCTCCATGGAGCCATTACCAAATCAGCCTCTTAGCAAAGAGCAGGGTGCAGAGGGAATGAAGACAAGCAGCGTGAGTTTGGAGGAGTCAAGGAGCATAGGCCACCATCAGGTTCTGTGGCAATGGGTCTCAAACTCTAGTCCTGATGCTTCTTTTTACAAATTTTCTTGGCTTTTCTTGCCACTTTTTCTTTAAGAGAAATCTCATTTTTGTGGTTTTCCTCATTCTCTCAACTTAAAAACAAAACAAAACAAAAACCTCCAGACTCACTTTGTTTATCTTACTCCACTGCACGTGCCATTGTGACCCCAGAGAAGGGGAGAGGTTGAAGGCTACCACAGCAAGAAGACGAGGCAGAGAAACTCTTGCAAGAGAGAATGAGGCCACTTCTTTGAGCCCAGTGGGATGGTGGGAGGAAAAAGTGACCAGCTAAACATGACGTGTATTTCTTCCTCTCCATGCTGGAATCTGGAATGTGGCCATGGAGTACTGATAGGCTACAAGGAGTGCCAAAAACAGAG